CTGAAAATCATCATAAACATATTCAAGCCTTCTTGATGTTGTGTGATATGATTAGTCACGAAGGCATATTTGTTGACACTTTTCGACTATGCCATTCCCTCACACATTAAAGGAAGGCGCACGAGAATAACTAAATTCACTAATTCCTGGGAACATAGTTTCATGGAATGACATGGTGCAAAAATTCACTTTGAGATTCTTCTCACCTTCTCCAGTCCACCAAATTAGAAATGAAGTTCATACTTTAAATCAAAGAGACCTTGCGAGCTATCCAAAAGCTTGGGAAAGTTCGAAGACTATTTCAAAAAATGCCCCAATTCAATTTGATCGTATCATTCAATTCCAATAATAACTTTCAATTAACGATTGCTTTAATGTAAATGTAGCCCAAAAAATCAAAACATAAAAAACCAATTTTAAAAAAATCCACAAAAAAGGTTAAAAAAACAAACACAACCACCCATAACTAGACCCGTGAATTCATCCATTTCACAAAATAAATATATATACCTTATGACTGAAGAATGGGAAAATGCGAACGGATCTGAGATGAAAAACCCTAATTTCTGAACACAATTTTTTTTGGAGATTGCTTGGGAAACTGAAATTGAGGGTTCGATGACGAATGATTATATACATGTATAGGTCTCTTTTGCTTTGAGTTTGTGATAGGGAGAATTTTAAATATCTGTGAAGTGTTTTGCAATTGAGAGATTGCTGACAGGTGGTAATTTTTTGAAGAATCGTGCTACTCTGCCAGGTCGGTAAAAGACCGAGCAAATGTGTCTTGGTGGGGGGTGGGTTATAAAACATTTGGGGGGTTCTTTTTAATGAGGTGTGTCTTGTGAGACAACCACTCTACCAGGCCTTTTACAGGCCTGATAGAGTAGCTTAATTCTTTTTTGAAAGAAAGGATTAAACGGCTAATTTGAATTATGTTTGGACCAATTTGCCCTTCAGAGTTGAAAATATCGTTTTATTGAAAAATTTCACTCGGATTTCGTCCAACTTATTTTATTTCACGTTAGTCTCTTGAAATTTTATTCTTTTTCAAAATTATTAACTTTGTCGAAAATTCCGACATACAGTAACAAGTTGGAAATTTCGATTTAAGGTGAAATAATTGCTAGTTAGTGTTTAGGCAACGTTACTTAAAAGGAAATATTAGAAAAATTGAGCCCAAAACAGGAATTGCAAGAAAATTATAAGGGGGAAAAAACAGAGCTAACCGGCCAAAGTTGATTGCATAGGCCTGGCCAGTGTATCTTTCACTGTAGACATGTATCAGTAGGAATGAAGTTACAGTTTTACCCTTGATGACTATCCTTATTCCCGACTTTATGATCCACGCATTGGCTCCTCGGGAGAGAATGGCCAACAGTCTGTGTGGCGGGCCCCGGGCAAACATTTTCCTAACGGATTATAATCAGTGTATAGATCGGTTTAATTTTAGTCTACTTAAACCTTAACTGACTTTGGTTCTTGGAATCCAAAATTAAATTTTTGTTTTTTACCTCTGGTATCATCATCAATTTATGTGGTAGTAAGTCCCCTAATTCTTTTTCAATAGAACTGTGATACATTTTAATGCATTGGACGGTAAATAAAGAGACACATTGCCACCTAAATTGATGAATATCATTATTTATTTATTTATTTTTATTTAGCCAATATTTGTCTATAATTAAATTGAACAATGAGTTTTGATATAGTGATTTTTTTTTTTAAAATGTGTGAATGAGAAAAAAAAAGTTCTGAATTTGTGTGAAATATTTTATTGTGAAAATTTGTGGATGAATATGAGTTTCAAAAAAATATTTGAAATAAGGGTAGACAAATAGGAGCTTAATCAATCATTACATTTTTAACTAGAAATAATCGAGGAAAAGCCCATGTTTGGCTTCAATTTTTTAAAATTTATTTTTCTCCAAACTCATTTTTCATCATACATTTTATGGGATGCACAATTTTTATTAACTTTTTAATCATATATTTGATTAATTTTTTATTATTATCAAAAATCACTAAAAAATTGATTTTTCCAAACAAACAGCGACTAATATTTCTTTTCTAGGTTACCTATGTACGTTCTTGTAGGAAGGTACTATGCCCTTGTTTGATAGTCATTAATTGGCAAAAATAAAGTTTTGAATATTTAATTTTTGGAGAATGTGTAGTTAAAAAGTAGGAAAAAAATTTGAGTTTACGTGCAAAATATTTTATTTTGTGAATATGTGATTGAAAATGAGTATGTGGAAAAAAAATTTGAAATAAAGAATGTCAAACAGAAGTCTATTAACACAAGGTAAATATTCCAAACAGGTTAAATTCACCAATGGCCACCCAACATTATAATTAGTGTCGTCATGGTAACTCAATTTGATTTTGTTTCACCATGACCATCCAATTTTATACTTAGTGTCACTATAGTTATCAAATTTAATTTTATTTCGCTATGACCACTCAATTTTCATATAACGTTTCACAATGACCACCACATTTCATATACCATTTCATCAAGATCACTCAATTTCTTTTCACAATTTTCACTAATTTTAAAACGGGTAAAACAGTAACTTTGTATTATATATATATATATTAAAATGTTTATTTTAAAATAAGTTTTTATTTTATTTTAAAAATGCTTTTTTAAATAATTTTTTGCTTATTTTATTTTTCTAAGTAACATTTTTCAAAATAAGTTTTTATTTTATTTTATTTTTCTAAGTAACTTTTTTTTAAAATAAATTTTTATTTTATTTTATATTTTTAATTAACATTTTAAAAAAAATAAGTTTCTATTTTTTTTTTAAGTAACGTTTTTTTAAATAAGTTTTTTTTATTTTGTTTTTCAAAATATAAACATTATATGAAATTGAGTGGCCATGATGAAATAAAATCAAATTGGATGGTCATGGTGACACTAAGTATAAAGTTAGGTGGTTATAGTGAAACAAAATCAAATTGGGTGACCATAGTGATACCAAGTATAAAGTTGAGTGGTTGTTGATGGATTTAACCCTATTCCAAACAATTAGATCCTTTTCGATTAAAGATATATAATTTTATTAGTTTGTTATTTTTTAAAGATGCCCAAATAGGATATTAAGCAGGTCACGACTAGTGTTTACAATATAGATGTCCAAATGGAAGTCGGAAACAAGTCAAAATTGTATAATGTTATTTAATCCTTGTTTGGTAGATATTAAAATCAGATTTTTAGTAAATTTTGATAAAAATTAATAAAATGTGTGGTTGAAAAGCTGTGAATTCTATAAAATGTATAAATAAAATTATTTATTGTATTTGACTTAAAATTTTAATTAGATTTTAATCCAAATCATTTAATGTGCTACATTAATTTGCTATCCCTTTCAAGAAATGTGTGAATTTTTGGGTTTAGATTGTGACCAAAGTTTTGAAAAATTAATTATCTGTCACGTGAATACAACCTTTTTTGTACTTACACCGTGTTCTACAATTAACCCTTGTTTGAGTCTCATTTTTTTTTCTTCATTAAGCCCATATTTGATGCACATTATTGAGGGAATAATGCATTTTAAATAGTAATGTGATGGAAAATATGTGATTAAAAAAGAAGGAAAAAATTTGAATTTGCGTGTAATATTATTTTATTGAAGATTATATTGTTGAAAGTGAGTATTGAAAGAATGTATTTTTTTAAGAATGTGAATCAAACAGGGCCTAAAATATATTCTTGAACCGTGATTTGACCTAATTTCAACAACGAATTTCTCAATAAAATAATATTATACACAAATTTAAAATTTTTCCTTATTTTTTAAACCACACGTTCTCCATTATAATACTATTACAAAATGTATTTTTTGAAGAAAAAAAATGGGACTCAAACAAGGGCTAATGACTTCCACTTTTTATCGGTTATATTATGAGTATTATTTGTACTAAATATTTGTTTTAGAAATGATGCTAAAGTCTTATCAATTTTTTAATTGATCAAACTTTAATTTTAATCATCGTGGAACACAAACTTGTGACCAATCGTGACGAGGCCTAACCTATCGTACCTTTCATTGGACTTCTTTTTTG